GTGCTGGGATTAGAGGCGTGAGCCACTGTGCCCAGCCTCATTGACTACTTTTTTGTAAATTTATAATCATCTTGTTCAGATATCTATATTTCTAAAAAACACTGTAATATATATGTACATGTATATATATGCATATATACATGTGTGTGTATATCTATATCTATATCTATATATATACTGGTAACTCACTTTGAATACTTTGGTAATAAGGATTGAAAACATTAATACGTTAACTCACCAAAATGGACCTACCACTTATTGAACATTTATTGTGCTAGGACCTTTACATGTGTTATCTCGCTTTTATTTTCCAATAATTCTGCTGGATACGTATTGTACTTGCCCAGCAGGTTCTTCTTTCTTGCTTCACAGATAAAACCAATGCACTGAGACAGTGGTATTGCAATAGAGAAAGAGTTTGATAGAGAAAGAGTTCAATAGAGAAAGAGTTTAATAACTGCAGGGCCAGCAAAGTGGAAGGATGGAAGTTTATTTCTCGAATCAGCCTTCCTGAAAACTCTGAGGCTAGGGGTTTTCAAATATAATTTGGTAGACAGGGAGCTAGGGAATGGGGCTACTTCCCTAACCCCCTGCCTACCAAATTATACTTGGTCGAGTCAGGGATGTTATCACAGGAGATGAAAGCTGTATTCTTGTGCTAAGTCATTTCCTGGGTGGGGATCCCAAGACCAGATAAGGCGGTTTCTTGGTGTGGGTTATCAGTCCAGGTGATCCCAGCTGGTCCATTAGAATGCAGGGATTAAAAAATACCTGAAGCACAAATCTTAGGGTTTACAATAGTGATGTGATCTTTAGGAGTAATTGCAGAGGCTAAAAATCTTGTGTCCTCTGTCTATATGACTCCTAAACTATAATTCTAACCTTGTGACTAATTTGTTAGTTTTAGAAAGGTTGATTCAGTTCTTGAGCAAGGACAAGGTTAGTTTTGGGAAGGGACTGTTATCATTGTTGTTTTAAAGTTAAACTATAAACTAAATTTCTCCCATAGTTAGCTTGGCCTACACTGAGGAAGCAACATGGAGTCAGGTTCAATTTTTCTCACTGTTATAATTTTTGCAAAGGCAATTTCAGTATTATTATGTCTAGTAAGTATATACAGAAACAGTAGCTTACTGATGGATGGGGAGAACTAACTCTAAGCAATAGAGTTTTAGATGAGACCTGGCTACTCATCTATAGCCAACATGTATGTTTCTTTCCACATGTATGTTTCTTTCCACAAGTTCTTGTTGGCTGTCTCGATACAATTCATAGCACTATAAGAATGGCAAAATGCACACAGGATAGTGATAAGAAATCAGATTCATAATTTTTTTGCATACAGAGAATATGGCATAAAAATGATGCATCTATAGATATTACGTATTCAGGACTATCTCAAGGACTGGTTGACAAAAACTCAGTATAGTGGAAGGTTTTTTACTTAAAAGTTACATTCCTACATGGTGAAAATTAGGTTCAGGTAAAAATCTGTAGTGAGCTTGAAAGAAAGGAGTTGACTTGAAAATTTGTTATCATAATTTATAATTATTTTTATAATTATTAAATATTTAAATATTTTTAAGTGAGCCACCATTAGTACTCTTGCCAAAATAATGGGCATTAAGAGAAAATCTAAAAATATAAATTAAAAAACTCTATTTTGTTCTCATTTGCTTTAATTATACAATGAATACTTTGTTTATTGCAAAAGAGGAGCCATGATTAACAAAATTTAGATTTCTTACAAATGTAATTAATTATATAAAATACTGTGACAGATTTTAAACATCAGAGAAAAAACATATAGAAATATAAGATTCCACAAACATTACTTATGTATGCAAAAATAAATATAATGCAAAAGCCTACTTTGAGATGAATGTTTTACGTGAATTGGACAGGTTCTGGAACCATAAAATGAATATGGCCATGAGAACGCTACGGAAAGCTTAACTGTGCAAGAGCCTCATCTGCTCCTCTAAAATCCACCATTGCCTTTACCTTGAGTCTGTGCTTCCCAAAGGGTGTTCCAGGCAGTGACTGAATTGGCAAGGACTCTATGACAGTCCTCATTCCTAGGAGACAGGAGAGTCCTCTCAAAGCTGACTTGGCATAAATATACTTGTGGCCTTTCTAAATCTTCCTCAGACTTTATGGTAGTCATGGATGCTGCTCCCCTACCTCCCCTTAACATCCCTTTTACTTAGAGCCAGACTTGTTCACTATCTGATGGCTCTCCCAGTCTAATCAGCTCTCTCTCCTCTGTCTTTCCCACAGGGACTTCCACCAATACAAGTGTTGAGCATTTTTAATCCCATCTTGGCATCTGCTTTTGGGAGGACCTGGTCTAACAGAATTTCTTAAAGTTTAGACTAAAGTTGCCATGGTCTTTGCTATTTAATCTTTGTAGATATTTTTCCAAGAAATTTAAAAATGCATTTACTATATGGACACATGGCATAATATTTTTTATTGTCATTTCAACATGTGTGAATGTTACCAAAAGATTCTATAGGAAAAATTTCTGGAGAGTGTTATGCTCTATGGCAACTACTTCAATGGTCCTTAGCCTCATTTCTTCAGAATTAAGAGACAGAATATTCTTTTTCAATAATTTCGATTAACTTTTCTATAAGTTTGTTTTGATTTATTTTTAACTACCAGTAATTTCCCCTGAAATAATTGCCCTCAGGAAAAAAAAAATACCTGGCATAATGTCAAATGATAAAGTGGTTATCTCAAGAAATTAGTTCATTGACATTTAATCCTACATATTCCTAGGCATTTCAGAGACTAACAGTGTGTTTGTTTGCAATTGTGAGTTGCCAAGTGTGATAAGTTCTTACAATCAAAACTTACAACGTATTTTGGTTTATACATATATACATAGATGAATCATTTGTGTGTGTGTGTGTGTGTGTGTGTGTGTATATATATATATCCCTATTTCCTAGGGAGAAAAATAAGACATTAAAAAAGAATAAGGAATCGCCTGTAATCCCAGCATTTTGGGAGGCAGGTGGATCACAAGGTCAGGAGATCGAGACCATCCTGGCTAACACGGTGAAACCCCATCTCTACTAAAAATACAAAAAAAGAAAATTAGCCAGGCGTGGTGGCGGGTGTCTGTAGTTCCAACTGCTTGGGAGGCTGAGGCAGGAGAATGGTGTGAACCCAGGAGGCGGAGCTTGCAGTAAGCAGAAATTGTGTCACTGCACTCCAGCCTGGGTAACAAAGAGACTCTGTCTCAAAAAAAAAAAAAAAAAAAAAAAGAATAAGGAGTGCTAGGGATGATGAGTATTTATAATGTTAAATAGAATGATCATCGCCAATAAAAGGTTATATTTCAACAAAAATCTCAAAAAAGTGAAGAGGAGGTAATGCTGCATTTAGGAGAAGCATAGCTAAAAGGAAACACAATTTAAAAACTTTGAGACAGAGCCCGCCTACTTTATATAATGCACAACAGGATATCAGTGTGGCCAGAGTGGGGTGAGTATGGTTAACACAGGGAAGTAACACAAGTAAGAATGGATAGAAAAGGGTTACTTGACTATTAATGTTTCTTAGAACATTACAGCTTTCTTCCTGCATTAGAAACAAGTCCTAGTTTAAACAGAAAGTGTGGCCTTTTGGGACTCCCAGCATCCTCACTTACTGTATTATATGTTGTAGATGCAGCACGCTTACACTGCACTGACAATGAGTGTGACTGGGCTCCTATGTATCATGAGTCCACTGGAATTCTATACTTAAGGTGCATTGCAAATGCTATGTATAAATGAGGTGTTAAAACATGGTAGACATTTATGTTGCATGTATATCCTTAGCTTATGTGCATGCTTCATTGTCCCATTGGACTCTGCTTACAAAACGCAAGCCCAAAATAAAACTTTAAAGAATTTCAGAACTGTGATAGCAGATCTTTCAACTGATATGAAACCCTTTTGAGTATGGGAGCCCTGTGCAACTGTGTAGCTTGTATACCCATAAAGCAAACCTTGATCACAAAGATCACTTAATTACTGAGAATATACTCAAGTACCACCTCATAGGACTGGAAAGTCTCTACACTACATAAGCCTAAAGTAAATGTGAATGGCATGGCCTCAACATGGGCAATCTATCCTGGACGCAAGCAGAAAGATCAGTCAGGAAGTAGTTTCAGTAATGAAGCAGAGAGTGATTGGGCTGACATAGTGACAGTGAATATGTTAAGAAATATCAAATTCTAATTAGATTTTGAAGGTATATTTGTCCATTCTCATGGTGCTAATAAAAACATACCCAGAACTGGGTGATTTATAAAGAAAAGAGGTTTAAGTGACAGCATGGCTGGGGAGGCCCAGGAAACTTACACTCATGGCAGAAGGGGAAGCAAACATGACCTTCTTCTCATGGTGGTAGCAAGAAGTGCCGAGTGAAGGGGGGAAAAGCCCCTTAGGAAACCATCAGATCTCGTGAGAACTCACTCACTATCATGAGAACAGCATGGGAGTAACCACCCCCATGATTCAGTTACCTCTACTGGGTCCGTTCCAGGACACGTGGGGATTATGGGAGCTACAATTCAAGATGAGGTTTGGGTGGGGAAAGAGTCAAACCATATCAAAAAGTAAGCCCAATGAAATTTGCCACAATATTAGGTGTGGAGTGTGAGAAAAAGAGGAGGGTCCAGGGTGAGAACAACTGCAATCTTTTGGGCCGTAGCAACTTGAAAGTAGAATTTACGTATTTTGAGATTGAGAAGACTGGTAGAAACAAGTTGCATATAGAAACATCAATATTTCAGTTTTGAACATGTCATTTAAGATGTAATTAGTCAGCAGTAAGAAGTAATTAGTCACCAAAGTGGAGCTTTGAATAGGTAGTTGAATATATGAGTCTGAGTTTCACAGATACTAAAGCACATTAAATAAATTTGAGGAACATCTTGAAGGTAATTTAAAGTTCTTACTTAAATTGAACCTTTGATTTGATTTATTTTAAAATTACAGGGAACCCTTGGCTTTGAGGGACAAATCAACAGATATATGGAACTTGCAAAATACTTCTATAAGGTTTTAAAGAAAAAAGATAACTTTAAGCTTCTGTTTGATGCAGAGGTAAGGAGGACTCTTAGCTTTTTATTTTTTAATTAATTTTTGAGATAATTTAATGGATCTCTATTTTCTTTTCTGAGTATTTTTATCTGAATCTACTACTTATCTCATGTGTTGGGAGAACCTTATGGGTACACTTAATTATTGTAAGTATTTTATTTTACCTGAGTTCATGTAAGTTAGGTTTTAAAACATTTTTAATTTCTTTGTCTTATAAGCAAAGAGTCCAAAAGACTACGTTAATAAGTACATTCAATTTTTACATTTTTAAAACAATGAAACTGTTTGCTTTTAACTGTGTTTCCGGGCATCTCTGGCACTAAATAAAATGTAATTTAATTGTTCTTAGTTTTTTTGTTTGTTTGTTTGTTTTGTATCTTAGAGTAGGCAATTGCATTTCTAGACAGTAGATAAAATAAGAGAAGGTAGGCTTTAAATTATAATAATCTTTGGTACATTGTTATCAAGTCACTAAGCTGATATTAATGACAGATTTGAGAATTTTGCTAGCATTACATTGTATATCAATCTTTAAGGCTCAGTAAACCTTCTACTGGCACACAGTAAATCATTCTAATAAGAGTACCTATTAAGAAACAAAGGTACCTTGTCTATCTTCTAAATTGTCTCGCTCTATGTTATTATCTTAATATTTGCTTATTCCTCTGCTTTAAGTGGAAACTAAACTTTGTTTTTAATACTACACACAATCTGACAGTTTAATTTCCTCTCTGAAATAAGCTTTGATAGCTCACTTAAGTTCCCTTTCATCCTTTGTCTATGTGAATGACACTCAGTCATCTAAGCCAGAAACCTTGAATTCATCTTGAAAGCCTGACGTTGGTCATCATGCTGATGAATTCTCTCCCTTGAAGCTTTTGGAAATGGAAGCACTCCTATCTACACTACAGCTAGGCCTTCAGTGAAGTCCTTTTCATTCTCTCCTGAATGATGAGAACATTCTATTTACTAATATTCTCCTATCTTCAATAATATTTCCCTCGAAATCAGTTATCTTTACTTCAACTTGAGTGATCTTTCTCAAATACAAAACTGATGCTCTCATTATTTGTTTAAAATAGTTGAAGTAATGGTCATGGCATGGATGAATGGAAATTTGAAGGAATTCATAAACCAGAATATGGGGAAGATGATCACACACATATGAAAATCCTCAAGAATTATGATGGGAGAGTTTATTGGAGAAACAAGCAGATCCCATGCCAGACTAGGCCCTCTCTGAGGAAAGTAGCTACTTCTTTTATCTCTGCATCCAGGCCCTGGCATGTGCTAAGCACAGGAGAAAACCTTTATTTAAATACATAAACATTAAGTGAAATAAATTAAAGTACTTCTGAAATAATAAAGTCACTAAAGAATTAAGTGGAGTTTTTATGGATACTTGTAAAGTATTTTTCTTTGATTTAGCCTGAGTCCACCAATGTCTGCTTCTGGTATTTCCCAGCAAGGCTTAAACGTATTCCAAAAGGTTTTCAAAGACATCAAGAAGTCCAAAAGGTAAGGGTTTGTTTTTTTTTTAATATTTGGTATGTGGTATTTTTATTTCTAATTTTAATATTGACTTTTAATGAGTCTATTTAGTTTGGTTAGTGGATTGGTGGTCATATGATTCCAAGCTACTGGTTTAATAATTATATGGGACTCACTGATTAATGGGTTGATAACTCAACCCATTAGTCATTTTGAAATTAATCCAGTCATTAGTTATGTATCGAAAAAATATTTCAATGCCTAATATGCAATCAGCTGAAATTCATACCCTTTGGTTAATGTATTCATTAGTTAATATTTCCCAGGTGTGCCAGTAGGAGTTGAAACTTAAAAAATGAATAAGACAGAATCCTTGTCCTTAGTTGGCTTGAAAGATTAGTAGGAGAGAATAAAAAGTATAGATAACTACAATTCCAAAGAAAAACAGACGAGACACTTCATGAAATGTTATCAATTTTAAAATATTTATCATAAATTGAGCAAGAATCTGATAGATATTTTATTATAGATCCATTAACAATACTGAAAAGAATTCAAATGAATGTCATAGAATGAGAATATTTCATCTGATTGTCTTATTTAAAGTGGACATTATCACCACTGTATGCTATTTAGCCATATATTTAATATGAGCTTTTGCCTAATCTTAAGCATGTATCATAATACTTATTTTATAATATTACCACCACTTTCTGAATTAGCTGATAGTTCAACCACGTATTTTACATAATTTGAGTTGCCCTAAGGTAAGTTGAAAAAAAATTGTCTGACATTAATGTTTAAGGCCATCAAAATTTTCTATCATCATTAGTAAGTTTCAATGGGCTTGTAAGAGAAAATGGAGTTTTTGTTTTCCTTTTTGCTTTTCACAGTACTGTTATGTAAATATGTTATGGTTTGAGGCAAGGACAAAGTGAAGCTCTTATTTTTTTTTTCCTAAGCATATACATGTCACCTTCCACTAGGGTAGCTACCACCAACTGAGTTAGCCAGAAGCAAGGTGGCTTCTAGAGGCACACCCAAACCACTCAGCCTCTTAGAGTTCTACACGTGTTCCTGACTGGAGGGCAAGCCAAGACTATTAAACAATTTCTCACAATATTACAGACACTAAAAAATACCCAAGATGGTATTGTTATATTGAATAAAATATTAATTAGAGAAGGAAACCAAATAAAATTCCTGACTCTTGAATGATAGAATTGTATGTGTGTATGTGTGTGTATATATATAATTGTATGTGTGTATATATTTACACATGCATAAATATGTATATTTGCTTCTGCACTGCCATCAGTCTTATAGGAAAGTTAAATATGGATAGCATTTGTAACATTTAAAGGTAAATTGTTTGCAGATTGCATACTTATAGAACACCATCTTTGGCTTTTCTGAGTGTTGGTGTCACTTTGCCCTATAATAGTAGCCAAAGTTATTTTAATGTGCTCTAACACTACCTGCATGATGCCATTTTAGGAGCTGAACAAGACAATTAAATAGAGCTTGTCTCTATGAAATTTACAAAGAAACTATATTTGCCACAAAATAGTGACCTTGTAGGAAAACTCAAGATATACAATAATGATTCAAATAATGCAAATAATACTAAAACATGATAATATTTTTCCATTCTCTATTTCATTTTACCTCTTTCCCAGGTACTTCTACTTGAATTGTCATATAACTATAAGGAAATGGCACATGCCTTTCTCTAATGCAGTCTAGCAAGTTTATATTACTTTATGGTTGGTAATTGTAAATCATGGGGTAATGAGAGTTGCAATATGAATACAGAATATGCTGCATTTTTTTGTACTAAGCTACTTCTTAAAAATTATCTCTGATGGTTTTGAATTGCCTACAATTTACTTGAAGCTAATGACAGTTATGTAGCCATCTGGAACATGGAAGAGTATTTGCTTGTAAAACTTCTTTATAATAATATTTACATTTACACACAGATTGCTCCAAAGATTAAAGCACAGATGATGATGGAAGGCACAGTCATGATAAGCTACCAGCCACGTGGAGACAAAGTAAATTTTTTTCGAATGGTTTTCTCTAATCCTGCCACAAGACAAAAAAATGTTGACTATCTTATTGATGAAATTGAAAGGCTTGGGAAGGATTTTTCATACTTCAGTGTGAACTTGAATATCCCATGTAAACATCAACTTTAAAATTCTATTCCTAAAGATAGTAAGAAAGGAATACTGAAAATGTTATAAAAATGTTACAAATAAGAACTTTTAATTATTATTGTATGCTATGTAAGATGAAAGAGAATCCAGTTTATACACATGCACACACATTTGTTCATGTATTTGTTATTTGCTATAATTCAATACATATTTAGCACCTGTTAAATGTTAGATACTTTCTTGGTGTGCTTAGGATACATCAGTAAATAGGAGACAAAAACCTCTCGTCTTGAGAAGAGAAATTCCATTGTGGACATTTAATACCTTAACATGTATTTTATGTGCTTGATAAAACATATAAGATGTTTCTCTTTGTTAAACAAACAATTATGATGTATAAATGTTCTTTATTTTGGATCAGAGAGAGGGAAGGGAATAACTGGGCTGACATATTTGCCTTTTAATCCTTGCATTTTTATTTAGAAGTGACTATAGCTTTTATCAAGCTCCTAATTTAACTCACTTTTTTCTGCAACATCATTTTAATGTCACGAAAGATCAACTGCGGTGACACCCTTTTGTAATTATCCAAAAATACATTAACCATAGCTAACATCACATGAACACTTCTCATGTATCACATGGTTTCCTAACTTGCTAACCTAAGTTACATGGTCTCATTTAGTTCTCGATTGACATTATGATTTAAATGATTTATTGTCTCCATTTCATGAATGTGAAGATTAAGGCTTAAAGATTAAATAATGTGTCTAACATCATGCTGTTAAGTAATACAATCAAAATCTGAAGCTAGCTAGGTTTCTTAAGGGTGGATGGCAAAAAAATCTGCCAAACGCTTTGCTGCAATTCATGGACGCCACCTACCAGCTGAGCTGTTTGTCAAATCACTGGACTTAAGCAGCTCTGTTTTCTTTTCTCTTAAAGTAGAAATAATAATAATCACTATCTCACAGGACCATTCTCAGGATAAAATGAAATAATTAGGCTAATTGTGTTCATTTTTCATATTTAAAATTTGACTACATTAGTCAGAAATGTTTTATATATAATATAGTATTATAATTATATATAATATATAATATAGTATATTATATGTAATTATAATATAGTATAATTATATAATTATATATACAATTAATATATATTATGTATGATATATATAATTAATAATTTATGATTATATATAATTATCAATAATCATATATGTAATTTCATTTTATGTAAATATTTTAAAAATATAATATACAAAATATATATTATGCATAATTATATATTATATATAAATATATATTATACACTATACTATACACTATATATAAAATTAGTATATTATTAAATATATAATGTATAATAAAATTATATTTATATATAGTATATGTAAAATAGAGTATATATTAAATTTATATATAATATAAAATATAGAATATATTATGTATAAATATATAAAATATATAATTTTATATTTATTTCTATATATTATATAATTTATAACATAAATTATATATAATATATAAATTAATATATTTTTATTGTATATATATCATATATACTCTATAGTACATATATAGTGTAAATTGTATTTATAATGTATATAATATAGTATATATAATGTAATATAGTATATATGACATGTATATAAATTATATACAAATAATAAAATATATATTTATAAATACATTATATATATTTTATGATATATATGTAATATTAGATATATATGTTATATATAATAAATATATTTATATTATAATAAACATATATAATAACTAATTAAAAATACATATAATGTATTTTATAATTATAAACATATATTTTATTTTATATAATTTATATGTATTATATAAAATAGGTATTTTATATAAAATTTTTATAAAATAAAAAAATTTATATAAAATACCTATTTTATATATTATATAATATATAGAGAGTATATATACATATATACTCTATTATACATTATAATAGCATATACATTATACTGTGTATGGTACAGTATATATTATATGTAATTTATACTATAATTATATATAAAACATAATTATACATAATACACATTTTATATATTTAAATTTATTTACATTTATATATAGTGAATAATATATAATATATATTTATTAGATATTGTATAATTATTACATAAATATACAATATAAAAATTATATTTTTAGTTATATGTAAATCATATATATATTATATATCTATATATTATATAATATACAATGTATCTATAATATATACATATATATCTATATGTAATTATATGTTGATTATATAAACATATAATTAATACATAATTAATATCTATACTATATATGATATATACAATATATTTGATCATATATCTACATAATTATATATAATTATATATTAGATTATGTTATATATTACATATTTATGTTATATAATATAAACAACATATGCTTTACATATAATATATTGTAAAATACAGAGATTATGAATTTGTCACTTGAAACATGTTTCAAATAATTCAACAAAACTAAAAAAATAGACATTTTAAAATTATACTTTGGTTCTAGGTTCTATAATTTTGTTTCTAAAGTGCAAAGAATGTCACTTCTGTGATAAAATGACCAGAGTGTATCAGCAAATGTGATATTAATCTAGGAGGAAGGGACATATTTTTGTCAAGTAAAGAAATTTTATAAGAATTTTAGCCATGAATTATTTTTGATTCAGAGTCAAGTTGCCTACCTGCATTAACATATCCTGTAAACTCAGCGTCTACCTTTCTAATAGTAAAAATAAAGGTCATTTTTTTGTGCATCCTACTCCCTGTATTTACCAATATAAAGAGATATTTGGAGAAATCTATGAGAGACTGGAAGGTTTATGGAGACAGCAAGAAATACATTTGGATCAAAACAATGGATGTTACATTTGCTGAGCTGGGTCCTGTGTTCCCAGGCAGACCAAATCATCTGCAGCAGAGAGCTCACAATACAAACAGTAATTGAACTGTTAGCTTCGAGATTCTCTCCTGGCAACCCTGAAATTCTGTTTGGGGCCATATTACCACTGCTGTGCCTTGGTAGCATTTTATGACACATTCAATCTTTCACAGATAGTACACTCAGTAGTTCCAAGTCTCAGTTCTCTTATTCTCATCCCTCAAATCATTTAGAGCTAAATAGAAATGGAAGTGAAGCTGTATCCAAATTATCCTTTGCTTAGTCAAGAGCTGGGGGGACATAGTGCAGACTTTATGTTAATTATCTTTGCCCAGATCACACATCTCGGGGAATAATTGACATAATTAAAAGTGCTATAACATCATTCAACATCGTTAACTGTAGCACATGCACTCCACTTCAGTGATTTATGGATAAGTTTGAAAATCAACATTATTCAGTCTTTCAAAATCCTATGGATTATTGCATAATTACAACAAGTACATTCAGTAACTGTGTTATAAATTAAATTTTCCTTTCAACAGATGATTTACTGTGACAGTTCAACAGTGCTGAATTTTTGTTACAATAACTCTGTATTGAACAGTTAAATGCTACCAAGAAATAAGATGAAAATATGTGAAAATGCCAATTATGGAAGGATATTTTATAGCTTTATTAAATGTGGCCTATACTTTTTATTGATTTCCAAAATGACTAATAGTTCTGTGATTTTCTCCCTCATAAAAGAGGCACAATTTTGCATCATTCGGCTTTTGATTTTATGCTTACCTTTCACCCTATAACTCCAAAGCCATGGAAGGTCTTTAGACTCCTCATTGAGCAAAGAAGGACTCAGGCTAGGACCTAGAATATAGCAGGGACCAAGAGAAGTTATATTACTTATTGATCGATTCACACATTTACACATCCTTACAAAAATGCACACAAATAAATGTGATCATGTCTAAGTAACAGTAGCTTTAAGGGACCTGACTAAATGTTATTACTTGTTACATTTAGAACTTACTATAAAAATCATAGAAATTTAAGCTGTTTCTCCTTCTTTGGAACAGTACATGTGTTACATACTTAGGTAATCTAAAATTGGCACAGGAAAACTCTGTGTCAAAGTATTGCAGACATCATAGTCAAAAGAACTAATTATTTATTGTTTTCTTAATCTCATAATTCTCTGTATAATATTATCTTAGTTCAAACAGAAGCTTGGAATTCAGACCTACTGAAGGAAATACTTGTTCAAATAAAGACTAAAGATTTAAAAGTATTTAAAAGCAATACAAAATGAAAATACAAAAATCAATTTAATTTCTAAACACTCGTAGTTAGCGGTCTGAAAGTGAAATTAAGAATCTATTTACAATAGCACCAAAAACAATAAAATTAATTGCAATAAATTTAACAAAAGAAGTTCAAACAAGCACACAATAAACTGCAAGACATCACTGAAAGAAATTAAAGACCTAAGGAAACAGAAATAAATCCATGTTCGTTATCAGAAGACAAATTTCTTGAAAATTCTGTACTCTCCAAATTAATCTACAGACACAACAGAGTTCCTATCAAAATCCCAGCTACGATTTTTCGGTAAAATTTGACAAGGATTTGAAAGTCATTTGACCAAACATTTCTCCAAAGAAGATACACAAGATAAGCACAGGAAAAGATGATCAATATCATTACCGTTAAGGAAATGCAAATCAAAACCACAATGAGATATCACTTCACACGCATTAGGATAATTAAAACAAAAAAGACAAACAGTATCAAGTGTTTATGAGAATGTAGAAGAAACTGGAACCCTCCTATATTTGGGGCAGAGAAATAAAATGGTGCAGTGACTTTGAAAATCAGTTGGCATTTCATCAAAATGTTAAACATAGAATTGCCATATGACTCAGAAACTCACTCTCAGTTATTCCACTTCCAAAATAAAACTTATGTCCACATAAAAACATGGACATGAATGTTTATACCATCATTATTCATAATAGCCAAACAGTGGGAAAAAATCAAATTTCCATCAACTGATGAATGAATAAGCAAAATGGGGTATAGTAATGTGGATCATACTTGGCAATAGAAAGG